GACAGGCGTTTATTATGTCAAAATCGCCAAAATTTCGCAAGGCATGGCACTGGACTTGAACAAGCTGACTAAACTGCCCTTTGGTTAACTGCAATAACCGTGCTTGCAGGTATGAAAGCATTAACCTTTCACACGTATAATGTCCAACGTTTTGAGCGATGAGGTTAGCTTTGACTGCAAATAAAGCGGATGCAGTGAAATGCCATAGGGTTGCCATCACAATCGCTGAGCGCAGTCGTTCACTAAATCCTCTGTCTAAGAGGCGCACAGTGCCCCATGTTGCTCATCAGAAAGGACACCGTAATTTGTAGTTATTTTAAAATTGAAGTGCTCCCACAGTTAATGTGGCGTTCAGCAGAATCTTAAAAGTAGAGCAGAAGTTCAATTAACACGTGGCTAGCGATGGGACAAATTGAACGATTTTTTCTTCCCAAAGAAGGAAAAATGGAGTATGAGTATAGTCACTTCGAGTAGGTGCATTCAATTTTACAGATACATCATGTAAGGATACACCAATTATAGGGACTAATTCTAACCGCTGCATACTATTTCATTCCATTTAAATTTAACTAATTTCACCGAAACCCAGTCTAGACACCGGTCATGAAGGTGTCAGAGGTCAGTGCTGGTGCGTGTGATACATGATCGCACCTACGGGTGGTTTTATTAATTATGATACATCGCAAAGATTGTGTCGACGTGTAACCGTTCAGATGCACACTGCCATGACCTGACTGATGCGCATGGTCAAAGGCAGTGGTTGTTTGGTGGCTTTTCAGACCCTATGAACCATTAGCAAGCATGTGTAAGGCTTGGATAAAGAAAAGCCCTTCCGGTAGTAACCATGACTTCAAGCATTCACGATAACTAACACATCTAACTCAAAGAATCTGGTGGACTCTCCGTACCAATAAAGTTTTCCGTGCAGAACAGCAAGGTCGTGCTCTTAGTTGAAATCTGACCTCCCATTTCGCGTCAAAACCTAAACAAGCGTGGAGGCATAGAAACGAGGCAACGCTTGGATGTTTGTCATAGCCTTGTGGGTACCGTCCAAACTCTGAAATGAACGTGTCGGGAAATTGTGAGGCAATAGGGAAATGGAGTTCTCACTGATCTGCATGTTTTCTTTAAGAATAACAAGGACGGAGACTCGAACCCTAGTGCAAAGACTTTAAAAGCACGAAACAATTGTAGATAAATTACTTCCCTTAAAACCTGTTTGGGTTGTAATGCCATTGCAGTGTTAATCAGTGTGCTAACCTCATAGCGTCCAGTGGAGCAAACATAGTCGAGCAGACAGTCCGGTGCGGTGCTGGCAATGCAAGCGAAGGCGAGACGAGAGACCTTCGGCCCACCTACAGAGTCTTTGACCTCCTTTGACCAACCAGCATAGCTATCTAATTGAAGACAGGGAACAAGTCCACCACAATCATTGACATGGCGACCCAATCCGTCCCTTCCACCATCAGCTCGCATTGCGCTCTTCGCACATGCGGAACTACAGAAGCCCACCTAGGAAGAGGAAGTGGTAAGTAGGCAATTAATGGCTATGAACATGCAGTCAACATTTACTGAACACAGAATGCTTGTGTCACTATTATTAAATCCTCACTTATTAATGAGCCAATTGAAATCACAATACATACTCGTCTGCTAACAATAAACAACAGACTCTGATCGATTTTGCTACTAAGCCATTTATATTCGAAAGTTTCAGCCCTCCAACACCCTACAAATCCTTACTTCCGCCCCATAAATGCGATGATTTAGCAGAGGCTCAATCTAAATGTTAGGTCAGTAAGAACACTCGTCTGCTCGTGTAGCGCAATAGAAAAGAACGCCTTAGTAATAATTATCCCGAAATGCTCAGTGTGATGCTCCACCGCATTGGGACTGAGGGTGCGCGTTAAGGCCCATGCAGTTGCACTCTTGCTACTTTAAACCTCATATTCTCGACCGCTTCACCTTGTCCCACCCTATTGGGCTTTTGTGCAGGTTAAGAATGTCCAAATAAAGGATTTAAATGACGCTGATTGCCCACGTATCATCAACAGTGAAACACGAGCGCACTTCGCTTCGCACAAGTCTGCAGTAGCCGATACTCGTGGATGACAAAAAGAATGAAACAAAGGCACAAAGATTAAGGGGAGGAAGAAGCTATGCTTAGGTTGAAAGGGAGATGAATAAAATTAGCTAACGCTTGTTCGCACCACAAATAAGAATGCTACAATAAAAGCAGAATATTGCAGACGAAAGACAATACCATAGCAGCCAAAAGTGTATCACGCTAAAAGTGCAGCAGCAATGCCCCCCAACGACTATGCACTGAAACAGAAAACCATGAAAAGAATAATAAAGTTTACTGTACGCCAGACCCCACCGAGATTAACTAAAAAAGGCTGTTAAAAGTGAGCCGACCCTGATTGCCTTTTATTTCTGTCACCCTTTAGTAGGCGCATAAAATGCCATGATCTCAGGCATTCACGATACCGACCACTTAAAATTCAAAGAAATTGGTGTAAAATCCGCTCAAAATAAAGGTTCCTGTCCGGATCAGCTTCTACTGTTGCATCAGCAGGGGAACGTATTAAGCTACTTCCAGTTGAAACAGTGTTCCACAAATAGGGATCAGGAATTCTTTATCTTGCCAACGCAAGTGACGAAGCCTGACTTTACTTCAGACCAGAACTAAGGTGAGCATAATGACAATGAAGGTAGTATGAACCGAAGTATTTTGGTCAAAGCTGTTGTTTTTGCCGGAAAGTTTGGACAAAAAGCATAGAAATTGAAAATCCGATGAAGTTTTGCGTGTGCGGGAACGGGGCGGGGTGCAGAACAAATACCCAATAGCTCTAGGGCACTGGGCATATTGCTTAGAGTGGGAAACTGCAAATCACAAATGAAATTAAGCGAGTGAGTTCATAAGACCTTGTGGGGATGTATACAAACATCTGATTTTTTGTTGAATGAACAGTATCATGATGGAGGAGATGCATTCATTAATGGTGTCAAGACGCCGGGGGTAATTTTACTATGAAAGGCAGTAACGTTTTGCGTGGATATGTAAGGAAAGCGGTACAGAATGCAAATTAGTAGTCATTAAGCAATGCCTTAAATGAGGAGGGTTATCGACAGTGGAGGCAGCGTGTACAGTGCTTCTACTGTGAGCCCCAGGTGATATAGTCCTACACACAAAGCAGCATTCCTTGCTCTTTATCAAGAGTCACAATATTTCTTCAAGAGCTAATCATGCAATCATTCTAATTA